CGTGCTAGGCCGACGGGCTGTTCCCGTACCTACGCGCGTTTGTGTTCGGCGGATAAACGTCATGCGAGGTAGACTTTTAACTGCGAGAGCCGTAAAATCCAAATATGATCTGCTGATAGACAAGCAGCTGTTTTCAGGTACACTGGAAGCCTGAACTGCATAGTTGCGTGCTCTGGCTTCGAATTTCGAAAAGTCACAAGTTCGCGGCGTGTGGCTATTTTTTTCTTTCTCTCCCCGTCAAAGGCACAGTGCTTTACGCTGTTCCCAGTAACTCCCGTTAGGGCAGTGTCGTAGGGAGTCACACGCGCCTTTCTGAACATTCCTTAAAGGATGTGGGGAGAAACAAACCTCAGAGGCCCTGCTGTTGTGGAATTCCTTTCATAACTCTGCTCTAACTTAAAAGTAATTAGATTTTTGCCTTTATTAATCCCGTTGAGAGGTTATTCCCCCTCCTCGCTGGTCTGATTACTAGAAATACTCTTCTGACTTCCAGCCTACAACTATTCAGGGCCAGTTAGTACCCATGGCCAAATTTTGTCACTGCGTCAGTGAGTTTCCCGAGTCATAAACATTTCTGGAAAAACACGCCCACCTGAGGGAAAGCACATACCCTGTTTTTTGACCTGGTTGAAGGAAGTTACCGAGTAAAGACCAGAGAGTTGGGCAGAACTGCTAGATCTTGGAGAAAGGCACTCCCTTTCCCGTCAAGGGCCGATAGCAGATTCTGGCACGCACCGGGGCGGCGCGGCAGGACACGGAGGGAGCCCCTTCTTGGAACAGGCCCTGCAGGAGGGGAGTCGTGCGTGGTAAACTGGCCTTGGGTGGAGATTGCTTATTGTTGTTCTCCATAATGATGTCCAAAAATAAACAGTATTATGCTTTGTCTGAGCTCCCTTGCCACTTTACAATGTGGCTGCTGTCCTGAGCACGTAATCTCAAGTTATTCTCCCTCAGGTGGCTAAAGAGGTGCCATCCCCGGCCCTCTCACCCACATCATGGCTGCCCCAGCAGGGTTATCAGCACAATTGTTTTGGGGCCAGACGGTGAATTGGGTCCCTGAAATGGGCCAGAATCAAAAAACACATACTGGAGGGGGTTGGGATATATATGTATGTGTAAGCAGAACTGCTTCCGTAATCACAGCTCACCTAGACATCCATTTGACAACTGAGGGGGCAGCGAACAGTGTGGGAGTCAGGATGAGCAGTCAAGGCTGGGAACCCGTTAAGCCAGCCTTGCTGCCTAGGGAAACGCTCCCGGCTGTGTTCCGGTTCAGCCATTCTTCGTGTTTTTGTTCTCCTCTCTGGGTGATTTAACTCGCTTCGTGTTTCACCAGTTTCAACACTTGTACCAGCAGAAGTGAGCCAGGGCACACAGGCATGAACGACTAGCCGGGTAGGAGCTGCCAAAACAGCTGCTTGTAAAGCTCTTCTTAAAATGTTGGGCTTTGTGTTGGGGGGTTGAAGAACAGGCTCGTGCTCCATCCTGCTGCCCCTCCTACAGGGACAGAAACTTTTAGCACTCACGAGGGGTAGTAAGTCGGAGGGACTTAACACCCTAAAACAGTGCACCAAGGCTGGCTGGTTTGGCTTTTGCTCAATAACTAAGACCAGATTGTCTGAAGTTTTGTCAAATCAAGAACCAACTCATACGTTGTCAAGATGAACCTCTGCTGAACACAGCCTTTTGTAACAGCCTGTTACACTCCACTTCTTTATTATGACAGCCAAGGCTGTACTCCCTCTATAGTCTTGTTTACTTAATAAGGACAGAGAGTCTTTAAAAAGTTACCTATTAATGTGAAATATTTCCTTTTCATACTGTCATCCCTGAAGTCATACAGCACTTTCAAAGCTGATGGTTTAAAACATACTACTTGCTATACAATTCAAGCAAACTTAGTCTATCTTTACTCAGATTTCTAGGGCGGGGGGGGAGAGGGGGGGAGGTTACTGTATATGTAGCTGCTTATATCAGTTACAATAAAATCCAGAATGTGTAGGTGACAATGTTGCATTAAAAGTTTCTGAACACAATTGCCACAATATAAAATGAAAAGGAAACGTGATTATTTGCCGTTACAGTGCAACATACATAGGCATTTGTCTTGCCAGTAGTTTGAAATTTAACAGCTTCCCAGCATATGAGCCTGCAATCTTGCTGGGAGGGTAAGACCTCAGCAAGAAAGCTAGAAAGTTGTGTACAAACTCTGGGCAAGCATCTGGAGATAGAGAGTAAGTGTCAAATTGCTGTAGGATGAGGAGCAGCAAGTAAGTGCAGGAATACAACAGAGGACTGTAAGAGAACAGGAGAGAAAGAAAGGAAGCGTACGAGGATATTAAACGCAGATTTAAAATGAAAGGAAACGTTATTATTTGCCGTTACAGTGCAACATACATAGGCATTTGTCTTTAGTTTGAAATTTAACAGCTTCCCAGCATATGAGCCTGCACTGCAGCTGGGAGGGTAAGACCTCAGCAAGAAAGCTAGAAAGTTGTGTACAAACTCTGGGCAAGCATCTGGAGATAGAGAGTAAGTGTCAAATTGCTGTAGGATGAGGAGCAGCAAGTAAGTGCAGGAATACAACAGAGGACTGTAAGAGAACAGGAGAGAAAGAAAGGAAGCGTACGAGGATATTAAACGCAGATTCACGAACATTGTTGCCCATGGACGGGTAGAAGAGCCATCAGCTAAAGAGTCTAGGCTCTTCATAGTCTCCTTTGGGTAGCTCTGTTGCTGTGTAGGGACTATAAATCCAATTCAGCTCATCTACAGAGATGTCCTCGGCATGATTTTCTGATTAAATGAAGCCGTTTCATTGTACGGCTCCATGGGTTATGGAGTTTGTTGTTGCGTAGTATCTTGTTTTTAGATAACAATGGCAATAAAATCCAGAATGTGTAGGTGACAATGTTGCATTAAAAGTTTCTGAACACAATTGCCACAATATAAAATGAAAAGGAAACGTGATTATTTGCCGTTACAGTGCAACATACATAGGCATTTGTCTTGCCAGTAGTTTGAAATTTAACAGCTTCCCAGCATATGAGCCTGCAATCTTGCTGGGAGGGTAAGACCTCAGCAAGAAAGCTAGAAAGTTGTGTACAAACTCTGGGCAAGCATCTGGAGATAGAGAGTAAGTGTCAAATTGCTGTAGGATGAGGAGCAGCAAGTAAGTGCAGGAATACAACAGAGGACTGTAAGAGAACAGGAGAGAAAGAAAGGAAGCGTACGAGGATATTAAACGCAGATTCACGAACATTGTTGCCCATGGACGGGTAGAAGAGCCATCAGCTAAAGAGTCTAGGCTCTTCATAGTCTCCTTTGGGTAGCTCTGTTGCTGTGTAGGGACTATAAATCCAATTCAGCTCATCTACAGAGATGTCCTCGGCATGATTTTCTGATTAAATGAAGCCGTTTCATTGTACGGCTCCATGGGTTATGGAGTTTGTTGTTGCGTAGTATCTTGTTTTTAGATAACAATGGTAATGTTAGTATTGATTTTGCACGACTCCTTGAAATTAAATATTTAGACCAGCAGGTAACTGTGCTTTTTGTTAGTTTAACAAAATGTTTATGTTCCTTATTTCAGGGTTCACTTAACTTCCTTTTCAAACATCTTCTTCTCTTAGAATAAAACCTTACCTAATCCTTCACAGGATAATGAACTTGGTAGTGCACTTGGGAAATAGCTACCGTGAAACGGAGAACATTTTGTAGAGGAAAAGGGACAAGAGAGGCTTCCCATCAATCTCTTTTTTGGAGCATTTGGGTTGATAAATAGTTAAATTTTAACTTGTCTAGAAAAACAGATACCAATTTTATATTCCAATCCTTAGTCTATTTCTGCAAGACGTGGGAGGGCCTGGAACAGGCAAAGCAGGAGCACAAATCTGAAACGCCCACATCTCAAGTGAGACTATTTCAGAGCGATTCTCTCACTCGTTCTTACTAGAAATTCCATCTGGAAGCTGAGAAGTCTTTCCCAGTGAAGCTTTCAAAAAAAGTTTCTTTTCTTCCCACTGAAAGAAACTTTTAGGTAAAATTGCTACCCAGTTGTAATTCAGAGTTTGATTCGAGTCTGGTTAAGTTAATGGACAAGTTCCTGTTGTTGCAGTCTGGCTTCAGACCAGGCCTTTGATGCTTCTTTTTTAAAGCAAAAGAAAGAAAAACGGGTAAGTTTTTAATCTGATGACAGAATAGTGACATAATTGTGATCAATGGTTAATGAGAATATACATATGAAGAAAAATATAAACGAATTTGCAACAATCCTGTTGTTAAAAGCGTCGATTTTAAGGATGACAGACCATCTCAGAAGTCCATTTTTTGCCTCGGTCTGTTTCTGGAAAGCGTTGGTGGGACTACCTGGATTTAATTTAATCTTGAAGGTTTGGGGGTTTATGGAAATACTGCATTCAAACACCTCCCGAGTGGTCCCTTCATTGGTTTCTTTCCGTAGCTGTGCCCGCCTTTCCTGAAAAGGCCCCTAGAGATAAAAGAGAAAAAAAGAATATAAACCCTACCGCACCATATAAAAGTGCTTTTTCATCAAAAAATTTTAAAAAATATATACTTGCAAGCTGTTATTACTCTTACAGGCTGGGGGGGGGGGTGA